GCTCTTTTTTTCGCAGGTACTTTTTGCTAGAGTTTCATCTGTTTATGCTCTACAACTTGAAACTCGAAAACGTAGACGAATAGTACCAGCAACTAGCCTGACTACAGTTGCGAGTATTTCTACCACAGATTTTAATCCACATGCTACCATTAATCCGTATGCTACTGTTAATCCGTATGCTACCGTAAATGACCATACAGACAGCGCGAGTATGTTACATTCCACCGATTAAAAAACTTCTATACTCGGGGATATATTACTTGGAAGAGGGTATAGTGATGGGCGGATTTCTTCTTTTAAAATATAAATTACTAATCAAGAGATCCGGGTCTCTTACACTCTCTTAACCCTGGTTTAGACTCGTAAAATATTACATTATTTTTTTTATGTATTCACAGACTTTAGACAAAAAAGAAAAAATCTAATAATATTTCAGGACTGATATTATATACTGTATATTCACCTATCTTTTAAATAAATATGGTTTGTAATTCATCATTTCTGACGGTAAAAAATTATATTCCATATAGGCAAAATAACTATTGTAACTAGCTTATAACCTGGTTTAGGTTTTTTCTGATTTTCATCTAATATAAATGTAAAAAAAAAAATACAGCATTAACAATCTAGTCTACAGTCAAGTTATTTAAATGTTAGAATGTATTTGTGTGAAAAAACGTTATTTTAAGACACAATTTAAAAAGAGCTATATAATAATTAGATGTCGTTTCAAATATCATATAACTACCGGACGTTACTTCGAGATAATTTAAAGAGAACTTAGCCGAATGTGGGTAATTATTTTTTAAAAATATTTGGCTAAATTAATTAATTCAAATTGTGTCATAAAATACTATTTGTCGTCTCTATCGGTGTTTCTGAGATAAGATGTTATGCTAAGAAGTACGAAATAACACACGTTAACATTATATTGAGACATGCAATTTAGAGAGCTAATAATTAATAATTTAACTGAATGCGAACTATCGCTACGTACGTACGTACATATAAT